TTGGGAGGGAGACAAACCATAAGTGACTCTCAATCTCACAAAACAAACTGAGAGTTGCTGGGGGGAGGGGGGTGGGGTTATGGACATTGGGGAGGGTATGTGCTATGGTGAGTGCTGTGAAGTGTGTAAACCTGGCGATTCACAGACCTCTGCTCCGGGGGATAAAAAAAAATTTTATAAAAAATAAGAAATTAAAAAAAAAAGATATTTACAATTATGATTCCTCAATTTGACTATCAGGTGCCTTGATGTTTTTCTTGAATCTATAATCTTGGGTGGAGACCGTTCGGCCTCCAGTACATGATCGCTGGGTCCATTCGTGAGATTGGGAAAATTTTCATGAAGAACTTGTTCCTCTATGTCTTCTAGACTTCTTTCTTTCTCGTCCCCTTCAGGGATTCCAATAATTCTGACATTGGAACGTTTCATGGCATCATTTATTTCCCTGATTCTGTTTTCATGGCTTCTAAGCTGTTTGTTCCAGACTTCCTCCTGATCCTTTCTCTCTGTTTGTCCTCCAGATCACTAATTCTATATTCTGTCTCAGTTACCCTAGCTTTGAGAGAATTTAGATTAGATTGGAACTCATTGAGATCTTTGTGAACCTCTTCCTTGGTAGTTTTCAGATCAGCCCTAACATTGTGAACATCTTCCCTGGTTGCTTTCAGTTTGGCCCTAATCAATTCCATTTGGTCATCCACGGCTTTCTCCAACCCAGCTATTGCCTGGATAATCGTTAGCTTGAATTCTCTTTTCGACATATTGTCTATATTGATAGCCGTTAGCTCTGTTGCAGAAGGCCCATCCTCTGTATTTTTCTTCTGTTGGGCATTCCTCCTCCTAGTCATTTTGGTGAGAGATGACTGAACAGATGTAGCTGGATGTATCGACCATGGTGCCGTCAAGGTGCACCCTGGAACGCTTCTGAGCAATCAGGATTCCCCACCCAAATGAGAGAAAAAAGAAAAGAAAAAGAAAAAGAGAAAGACAGGAAAAAAAGGGAAGATAAAAGAGAAGGTTCAGCCCAAATGGGCCCCAAGGTAAGATTTAGGAAGTATACAAACAAAAATAGACAAAAAGACTGATAAAAGTATATGACAAGAGGAAAAAAAAAAAATATATATATATATATATATATATATAGGCAAATAAAGGAAGAACCTCATCAAAAAGAACCCCAAGTGTAAGATTTATATACTATCAGGAAAAACACAGAAACACTGGCGGAAGAAAAAGATGGGAGAGTGGTAATAAATTCTCAGTGTGGGCGTGGGCGAGGAAGGTTGTTTTGATTCTTCCTGGATGTATCTTGATATCTTTGTTAAGGACTCAACTTGCCTAAGATAAAGGGGGGTTAAAAATTGTTTTACCTATAGGGGTAGCATTGATTGGGGAAAGGGGATTACCTTGAAGTTTAACTCTATATGAATATTAGAAAATAAAAATAAAAAAGGAATAAACTAGACTAAACTAAACTAAAATTAAAAGAGAAATAGAAATGCAAAAGAAAAACACAGGTGTATGAATCAAAAAGTTCAGAAGGTTATTATGGAGTTTGATGTACTGGACATCTCACTGTGATTGTAAATAGGTTAAAAAATTATGTATATAAAAAGAAATGAACCAGAATAGTGGGAACGAGTAAAAAATAAAAGTTGTCCTATGAAGTAGTGGTGGTGGTTCTCTTGTCTTTTTTTTTTTTTTTCTCTTTCCTGGTTGGTTTTCTGGGGGAGGGGCCTGCCACGTGGGTTTTCAGTCAATGATGTTCCCTGAGTTAAGTCCTCCCGCCCCCCTCCAGGGGGTGGGCTCTGAGGAAACCGGTTTTTTCAGGCTTTTGATCTCTGGTTTTTATGTTCACTTTTTTTTTCTTTGTCTTGACCGCTTTTGATGGTTTTTGTAGGTTTAGAGGAAAGCAAACTGCACCCTGACCTCCCTCTCAGAGAGAGGCCTCATTCTGGCTGCAGAGCCCAAATAAATTCCCCCTTGGCTGCTGGCAGAGCAGGTTCCGAGTCGCGGTCCCTGGGGACACAGGATCTTCTGTTTTTACCCAAAACCACAGCAGCGGTGGCTGTCTGGGCAGCTCCAGACTGTCAGAGAAGTTCCAAGCAGTGATCGCACGCTGAGATTTTCCCTCTGGCCTGGGCTGTGAGTGCCTGGCCTTTCTGGGTCTAAGAGCGCTTGGCTTGGGCGCATCGGAAGGGCACGGGTCTAAGAGCGAGGGGCGGGGGGGGGGGGGGGGGGGGGGGAGGGGTGCGCGTCTCAGGCTCTGTGGCACCTGCCTTCTGGCTCTGGAGCCTCTGTCTTCTGGCGAGCCTCCCAGCCCCTCACAGGAGCCGGACCTCACGCGATCTCGCGTGCTGGCGGCTCAGGACCAAGACCTGGTTTCTCCGCCGCACTCTCTCTGGCTCAGTGCCAGGGGAGGCTGTCCTGGGTCCGGGGACTTAAGCCCCTGTCCCTAGCCGCCCTGATTCCCGCAATTTCACCCCGCAATCCTTTGCTCTCTTTGAGTGCTTTCAACCAGACTCCAAGTTAATGCTGATCCCCAGACGCAGGGCACTCTCAGATTGGGGTATTACTTTCCAGTCGGTTGCCTCTGGTGGCTTCCTCCCCCTTTTGTTTATCTTCCGATATCAGTCCGAAGTTCCTACTCCGCTTTACCTGCCCACTGGCCTCTTCTGCCGCTGTAGAGATCCAGACGTGTATAATTCTGGTCTCTGGCTGTTTTCATGGGTGATCGGAATTCTTTGGTAGGTAATCAGCTCACTTTAGGGTACAGGTTGAAATGGTGCCTCCTCCTACTTACCCGCCATCTTGTCTCCCCTTTATTTTTTATTTTTATTTTATTTTTTTTAATATTTTATTAATTTATTTGACAGAGAGATCACAAGTAGGCAGAGAGGCAGGCAGAGAGAGAAGAAGGGAAGTAGGCTCCCTGCTGAGCAGAGAGCCGATGGGGTGCTTGATCCCAGGACCCTGAGATCATGACCAGAACATAAAGCAGAGGCTTTAACCCACTGAGCCAGCCAGGTGCCCCAACACTCGATTATTTTAAAGGCTGATACAGCTGACTTTGCCTACTTTTAATAGACTTAATTTTTTAAAGGAGTTGAGATTCAGAGCAAAGTTGAGCAAAGGAACATAGCCTAAATGCTCCCTGCTTCCACACATGCACAGCCTCCCCTACTAGTAACATTTTTTATTATATACTTGATTTTTTTTTTTTTTTTTAAAGAGGAAAGGGTTAAGCATCTGCCTTTGGCTCAGGTCATGATCCCAGGGTCCTGGGATTGAGCCCTGCATCAGGCTTCCTACTCGGTAGATAGTCTGCATCTCCCTCTCCTGTCTCTATGCCTGCTTGTGTTCTCTCTCTCTGTCAAATAAATAAATAAATAAAATGTTTACCAAAAAAAATAAAGAGGGAGGTGGGGAGGAGCACAAAGGAAAAGAGAGAATCTTAAACAGGCTCCATGCCTATTGTGGAGCCCTCAGCAGGACTCCATCTCCTGACCCTGGGATCATGACCTGAGCTGAAATCAAGAGGCAGATGCTTAACCCCCTGAATCACCCAGGTGCCCCCATTATATACATTTTTGCCATAGAATCTACATTGTCACATCTTACTACCTAAAGTCCATGGTTTATTTTTATTTACTTTTTAAAAGGTTAATTTGAGTGTGAGAGCAACAGGGAGTAGGAGGAAGGGTAGAGAGAAAAGCAGACTCCCTGCTTAGCAGGGAGCCTGAGTCGGGCTTGATCTTAGGCTCCAGAACCATGACCAGAGCTGAAGGCAGATGCTTAACTGCCTGAGCCACCCAGACACCCTTAAAGTCCATAGTTTAACTCTTGGTGTTGTTTCTCTATTTTTGTTCTTTATCTTGTCTATAATTGACTAAAAGTTCATATTCAGATGTTTTAAGAAAATAAGAACAATGTTAGTATTTGAAAATTCAAATATACTGTTTTTATTTAACAACCAAATTTTATTTGTCAACATTAGGAGTTCTTGTTTGGTCCATCAGTCTTTTAAGTTTTGTTGTTTGTTTGTTTAAAGTAAGGTCTAAGCCCAAATGGGGGCTTGAACTCATGACCTCAAATCAAGAGTCCTATGTTTTACTGACTGAGCCAGCCAGGCATCCCTGAGTTTCCAGTTATGTTTCACAATTTTGCTTATTGCATGAGTAATAGTTACACAGTTGTTACAGCAATAGTTAATCCAGTTCACATACTTAAAGGTTCTACTCTAAAATGCTGTGCAGAATATTTTCTATAAAGGAAAACCATTTGAAAACCTATCCATGTTCTCAGGGTAAACCTAGTAAATGATAAATATTGTAGTAAAAATATATAATAAGAATAGCCACCCAAGGGGTGCCTGGGTGCCTCAGTTGTTATCTGCCTTCAGCTCAGGTCATGATCCTGGAGTCCCAGGATTGGGCCCTAGCTTCGGGCTCCCTGCTCAGCGGGGAGTCTGCTTATCCCTCTGCCCTTCACCCTGCTTGCTCTCTCGCTCTCTCTCAAGTAAATAAATAAAATCTTAAAAAAAAAAAAAAACAAATAGCCACACAAAATGTTTAAGACTATTTTAGGTATGCTTTAATTATTCATTCTGGTAATGACAGTAAAAGTTTATTTATATTTTGAAGCAGTAATACTTTAAAAACTTTACTGCAATTGAAAGACCCTCAAATTCACACATGTATTCACTGGTTCATCACCTATTAGAGTGTTTGTAATCTGTAAGGCATTAACCATTTAGACATATTAGACCTATTGTCTTCAGTGTGTAATAGTTGGAGGTTAATTATGTGATGAAGAAAAATATTTTATCCTTGTGACTTTAATATGTTATCAATAGTATAAGAAAGTGCTTCAGTTTTATTTTAGCTTGATCATAATATTTTTTAATTTGGTCTGAACCATGATTCTTAGTCTTCAGAAATGTCCTAGTTTACCATTTAAACACTGATGTAAAAATATGTCTAACTTTTCTTTTCCTTAAGGTATTTACTATACAAGATCTATTACAACTCATTAAAATCAACCCTGAATCCAGTCTCTACAAATCACTGGTATGATTGTTTAGTTTTTATAACCTGGTTTGGTCTGTTAATTGTAACTGAACAGTTGAATAAAGATAAAATATTTTCTTTTAACAGATTTCAGGATTTGATAAAGAAAACAAAGGTAGGAGCCTGCATCTTTGTAGAAAATAGCAACATTTTTGTCATGTACTTTTTCCTGTAAAACTATGAAAATAATAATATTGAGGGGTATGAGTAGGGAATTTAATATGAATTTGAGTTTCCATGCTGTAACAGTACTTACCTTCTTACCTAATATTTTTAAAAGATTTTATTTAATTAATCTCTACACCCAACGTGGAGCTTGAAATCATGACCCTAAGATCAGGAGTCACACGCCCCACTGATTGAGCCAGCCAGGCACCCCAGTACCTTACCTTTTAAATAAACAGAACACTTCATCTATTTTGACAAATGTCAATAACTTCTCTAAATTCCACTCTTCTTAATTGTCCTTAGATACCAAAAAAACCCCAAAACTATAGAGTTGATAGAACCCTAGAAATGATGTGAAAGTTGATAGGACCCTAGAAATGATGTGAAAGCTGCATATTGTAAAGATACCCACTGTTGCGAACATTTCCACACACACAAACTAACAATTTTAAGGCTAGGTGTCTTTAGTGTAGATCTCCCCCTCAAGTACAGTTCCTAGATTCTTAATATTTGCTCTAAGAACGAAGTATTGGGTCAGTATAAGTGTTACATATATACTTTTTATTAAGTGTTTATATGAGCCTGATAAGTTGCTTTATTCTTGGGCTTGATATTAACCTTCATGGAGTCCATAACATGCCAGACCATGAGCTAGACTGGACGATAGACTTTGTGGCATGAAGTTAAGCTGGTAACTTGGATGAAATGCATACTCTTTAGGTCTGTTGTAAATAATCTGTAATATTACATAGTGGCCCTTTTGTGTTGATGAGCTCCAGGATTTTGTCTGTTGCCAATATTGCCACCATCCCCAGTAGGGCATTCACTGAAAACTTAACTTTCAGCAAACATTTGAGTATTTAGTTTCTGTTAGCCATTAGCCTAGGACTTAATTACCTCGTCTCTTGGGAGTAATGTTAGCAGAGGATGAGTAAATCAGATCGCAGGACATTCTGGAGTGCCTGCAAAGTAGGTCATCCATTCTGAGCTGTGGTATGTCAAGTGATCCCATATTCGGTATTCCAAGACGGGACTGTCTAATGTCAATTTCCTGTAGGGATGGGGGGCACCTGCGTCTCTGCTGTTTGATATGGTTGCTGCTAGCCGTGTGTGGCTGTTAAACATTTGAAATGTGGCTAGTGTAACTGAAGAATCTTAAGCTTAAATAGCCACACACGAATAGTTCTTATCCTATTGCACAGGGCATGCAGATCTAAGGATATAGCGCTTATCTGTACCTTAACTCTCCTTTCAGAAGGAACCTTGGGGCCTAAAGGGATATTAGGAAATAATCCACTTATTACAGGTATTTCATATTCTCTTGAAAAACAGTTTTCCACTTTTATTCACTGTCAAAATGCTTCTGGTTCAGAAAGACATGTGGTTAAAAGCTCTTCCCGGCTTCACCCAGCATCCTACTATAAGTTCTGAAATTCAGAAAAACTGCATAGTAGACATGTCAGGCATCCTCATGGCAAAATTTGGGTAGAACTCTTTGCTGACGTTAAAATGAAATAATTTGAAAAATTTGTGGCTTCCACTTAAGAAATTGAGAGCATAGAAAACACGTAGGAAGATATTTTGTGTCTGTTGTTTAGGCCCTAGCAGAGACCTGTATATATTTTTATTTTACTCTGTCCGTATTTGAGGGTGCTGGGTTGTTGAATGGCCATAGTACTTCCCCCTAGATTACATTTACCCATCCTTTCCATCCCCAACTTCTCAGAGATAATAATGCCAAGATAAAAGCTGTGTAGAGAATTTGGATGAGGCAGAAAATTTGAACATTGGCTCTTTATTTTTTGGAATTTAAAATCTTTACCTGTAATGGGTAAAACAATAGCTACGTATATCAGCAGGATGGAACAGTGAGCCAGAAATCAGTCTACACAAATACAGTCGACCCTTGGACAATATGGGAGTTTGGGGCTCTGACCTCCCCCCCCAACCTGGGCCGCTGCACCTTCCCAAATCCACTAGAATTGTTGACTCCTCCAAAACAAATAGCTTGTTGTTGACTGGAACCCTTACTGATAATATAAATTGTCAACACATATTTCGTGTTTTAAGTATATGATATACCATACTCTCAAAGTAAGCTAGAGAAAAACATGTCATTAGGAATCAAAGAGAAAATGCATTGATCTATATCTATAGATATATATGTATGTTTATAGATATATCGATATATAGCAGTATTGATCTATATTGATTGAAAAAAATCCCCATGTAAAGCCCGTGTTAAGGGTCAACTGTATAGTCAACTGATTTTGTATAAAGGGTGAAGGTATTTCAAGGGAGGAATGATGTCTCTTCCATACATGGTTCTGGAACAATTGGACATTCATACACAAAAATGAACCTAGACACAGACCTTATACCTTATGTAAGAATTAAAATAAATGGTAGATCTAATTTTAAGTATCAAACTATTAAACTTAGTCAGAAAACATTAAAAAATGTATGTGACCTTCAGTTTGGTGATGAGATAGAATAGTAAAAGCATATATATGAAGAAAAAAGTGGACCAGTTAGACTTTATTAAAATAAAAAACATCTGCTCTGAAAGACACGAAGCATGAAAAGACAAGCCCCAGACTGGGAGAAAATATTTGCAAAGGCCGCATCTCCTAAAAGACATATCAAAAATATACGAAGAACTCCTAAAGAGAGAGAACACAGTTTAAAAATAGGTAAAGGATCTGAACAGACAAGTCACCAAAGAAGATCTGGAGATGGCAAGTAAGCATACAAAAAGTTGTTCAATGGCACTTGTTATCAGGGCAGTGCAAATTAAAACAACAAAGAGATCTCCCCATGCCCCTGTTAGAATGGCGGAAATCCAGACCTTACAACACAAGATGTTGGTGAGGATGCAGAGCCACAGGAACTCCTGTTCATTGATAGTGTCACTGCAAAATGCTGTAGGCATTTGGGGAGATCGGTGGTTTCTCACAAAGCTAAACCTGGTCTTGCCATACCATCTGACAGTATGCTCCTAGTTGTTTACCCAACTGGTTGAAAAACTTAGGACCACATAGATCCCCAGACAGAAATGTTTATAGCAACTTTATCATAATTGTCAGAAATCGGGAGCAGCCAAATTGTCTTTGAATAGGTGAATGGGTAAACAAGCTGTGTACATCCAGACAATGGAATACTGTTTGGCTCAAAGGAATGAATTGTCAATCCATGCCAAAACAAAAGCTGGGGCACCTGGGTAGTGCGGCTGGTTAAGCGTCTGACTCTTGGTTTTGCCTCATGTCATGATGTCAGGGTCCCTGCGTCAGGCTCCTTGCTCAATGGGGAGCCTGCTTCTCCATCTCCCTCTCCCTCTCCCCTCTGCTTGTGCTAAGGCTATCAAATAAAGTCTTAAAAAGCTGAGAAAAAAACACATGAAACTGTAGAGCTGTTCAGTGGGTTGGTGATTGCAAGGGATTTGGAGGGAAGGGGTATAGGAGGTTGAATAGGTGAAGCATATGGGATTTTTTAGGGTCCTGAAGGTATTTTGTAGGATACTATAATGGTAGGATATATACCTCTAGATATTGGTCAAAGCCTGTGAAACTTTGTAGTACAAAGGGTGAACCTTAATGTATGCAAATTTAGGAGGTCAGGTGATCCCAGGATGGACTGCAGACTGTGACCAAACCAACTAATAACCTCACCAGAAGGGTTGGGGAAAAAAAAGAACCTGAGCTTGACCAGCTTTGGAAATGAAGACCGTGAGGCTAAAAGCAAATGAAACTGTATATAGACACCATGTTCAGGCTGATAGTTCTCATGGAGGTGCTGGTTGACAGTTTGGAAGCCATTGCACATGTGTGCTGGAACTGCACAGTTAACCAGATGGGTAGTAGAGGTTGAGCACCGGGTTCTCAGCGTTAGAGTGCAGCTTCACGGATCGGTAAGGCTGGAATGATCCACGTGGGAATGGATCTTTTGGAGCCCTCGGATAAGCTCAAGTTTAGCTTAATATAGATGCAGAGGATATACAGAGGTATTTACAGATATGTGTCTACACAGGTTAGTGGAACACTTAGATTTCCTTGTTCTGGAGGCTGAGAGGGCCTAGAGGCAGTGACACCCCAGTAGCCACGACACGCCTAGTGCCCCGTTTGGAGCACTACACTTTCAATTCCAATACAATTCTGTAATAAGAGGAGCCAAGGCTGCTGGGAGCAGTGGCTGATTCTAGGACTGGGGCAGAGTGTACAAGATGAGCCTGGATCTTTTATAGTGCCAGATGAAAGAAAGGGTTTAATTAAAAATCAACTGTGAACGACCTTCCAAAGGCCAAAGTTAGAACAAATGAAGCAACAAAATAAAATATTGTATTATACAAAAATGTTACATAATCACAGAGGAGTTGAAATACAATGTGTAAAATACCCCTGGGTTCCATACCAATGTAAATGAATGCTTGAATAAATGAGAGTAGAGAATTCCTTCTTAGAGGGGATATATATGTTGGGGAGGGGAGGGGGGGAAGTGAACTAATTAGGGGCCTTTGAATAATACTACGGAACTGGGAAAAGGTGACCATTCTTCACCTAGAACGAGTGAGAGGGAAGAGCACACCTCGGAAGATTATCTACTGCAGGATCTCGAAGAACATTTCTGCAATATGCCTTCCTTTTCCATAAAGGCAGAGCAGACACCCCTGAGCATAATAGTAGCAGGAAGGTGTGAGGAGAGGACAGGAGGACTGGGAGGAAAAGGTCTGGAGATTAGTGGATGAGCCCAAGAGGAATTGCAATTAATGGCTATGAAAGAACGGATGTCGGTCACATTAGAGGAAGTGAGAAACTAGATTTTAAAACATCTTCAGAAAAGGGTAAAAACAAAAAGGCCTTTAATTTGGCTGATAAAGAAGCCAAGTCCTTCCAACTGTTTTTAAGAAACAAAAAACTTCTAAATGTATACTCATGATTTAAAAAAAAAAAT